AGGGAGGGAGGGAGGGAGGGAGGGAGGGAGGGAGGGAAGGAGGAACAACCCCTTTACATTACTACTGTCTCCTCACATTTGGGATTGTGTTGAAAGTAAAGACATCAGTCTACTCCAGTAACAAGCAGCTGGTATTTCCCATCATGGATGTCTAAAGTATATCAAATCAAATGTCAGATTCCAAGAATCAGAGCCCAGACAGAGGCCACTAGAGAACTTCCGCTTTGCTTGTGGTCGGTTCAGTCAACTGAGCAGCTACGGGGGCTCACTACTATCAGTGGAGCCCATCTTTCCCAAGCATCCAGAGAAAGAGCATCTGCATGGACTGCACACTGAATCACAGACTCTTCCTTCAACCAACACTCTTGGCCTTCCATGTTCACTTGCTTCCTCCACCCACTTCTAAGATCCTAAGTTTTCTGTTTTAATATAAATGGTATTGATGATCAACACTTGAGGCATATCAAACACTGAACTGACTTAGGGATGACTGAAGTATAAAATCCAGTAGTTCCAGTACAGCTAGAGCGCCTACAAGAATCTGTCTTCTACTTAACAATCCTTAGTATCAGGTGTATTAGTAACAATCCACTGGAAAGTCCACATCACAATCCATGAGTAAAAACGTACACAGACAAGAACTGACAGTCAAGTGTGGCATTGCAGATCTTGTAACACAAGTGCAAGCTAACTGAAAAGGACTAGCTGCCTTCCATTAACATGGAAAGAAACTAGGTTTGATAAGAATGTACATAACATTACCTGGGTTGTCTTTTCTGTTGGAAAATTCCCATCAGGGGCCAAGAGGCAGTCTTCAGTAAGGGATGCAAAGCCCCTCTTAGTGTTTCTCTTGGCAATAGTGGCTCCACATGTTCCTAACCTAATTTACAGGTTCCTAGAAGGCTGTTTCTCTCTAGTCCTGTCTATCTTTAAAAAAAAAAAAAAAAAAAGGACTAATAGGCATACAAGTAACCCCTATTTCTCAACACCTTGGAAGTAAATTGTTTGCTTTTTGAGACAAGGTTTCTGTGTGTAGTCCTGGCTGTCTTGGAACTCACTCTGTAGACCAGGATGGTCTTAAACTCACAGATCTGTCTGTCTCTGCTTCTGTGGTACTGGGATTAAAGACATGAATTTTTAATGTAACCTCCTATGAAATCATGTGGATTGTTTTTGAGACAGGGTCTCATACATATCCCTGACTACCCTGGAGCTTGCTATAGGACCAGGCTAGCCTCAAGAGTTGACTGCCTCTGCTTCCTGAATGCTGAGATTAATGGGTGTGTGCCATCATGTCCACCCCTGTATTTTGTTTTATGCTTTTAATTCCATGATTCTGAAATGTATACTTAAACAACACAGCATAAAAAGAGTAATACTTGGTTTAACTGCATTCAGAGCATATGGATAAAATATAACATTTATCCCCACCATGGAGGCTGACCTTGCTGCATTTTTGTTTGACCTTTATATTATAAATTTTGTTTATATACATGAATAGTTTCAGACGATGTAAGAGTTCACACACATGCAAATCTTCCAACCCTACTCTCCAAATATTAAGCATAACTGCAGGTTATCTTCCCATCTGACACACTGACACACACACACACACACACACACACACACACACACACACACACGCATTTTTGCTGCACCTTGCACTATCAAGGAACACCTGCCTTGATAGGAAAATGTCATTGACAGTGTGAAAAGGGGAAAACTAAAGATGCAAAGCAGTATTTCTTTCCCATTGGTTTCTAACGCTGCAGAACAAAAAATGCATACTTGTTAACAGGAACAGCAAAATTAATAACACCCAGGTAAAAATGATAATTTAACCAGACTCCGTTATTTTTCTGGTGTATTTAATTGGTGTTTTCAAAAGGTAGGAAAAACATTTATGGTTACACTTTATTCCATTTCCTTATTTGTGTGGGAGGGAGCTACACACACGGAGGTCCGATGACAGCCTGTGGCGTTCTCCCCTTCCAGTGTGTAGGCCCTGGGATTATAGTCAGACTGTCAGGCTTAGTGGCAAGGGCCTTTACCAACTGAGCCATCTCACCAGCACAACTATGATTACATTTTAATAACAAATGGTAAAAGCCAAATTGTAGCCAGCTGTTAAAGTTCTTCTGTAAAAAGATTTTTTTTTTAATGGTCCAACAAAATCAGTTGAGGACTTTCATCTGAATGAACGACCCTGCAGCCTTTCCTACCACATGCTCATAACAAGTCTACACCCCATGAGACACTGAGCAGGGCTCTCTCTCGTGTCTGTGGTTGGGATTCCCGGGTGCTCAACACCAGCACTCTCACTTCTGGGTAAGAGAAAAGGCATTCTGGTCCATCAGTTCCCCTACTCTCTCCTGAAGGACATTAACCAGTTCTGCAATGACAAAGACATGTGTGTCATCAATGTCTTGAATGATGAACTTCTTCCCCAAGGCATTGGACTCATCCAAGTACAGCAAGAACTGCTTCATGGCGGGATCGCTGTGGAAACAGACACAGATTATAGGACATCCTGTGGTCAACCAGGCTGCAAAGACTTAACATTTACATCTGAAGAGTGACGACTTTTAAAGTTCAGACCATTAGTCAATGTCTTGGTTTTCTCTCAGCCTAAAGTCCTCATCACCTGTAACTATGACTTCACATTAGAAGTTGAGTTAGATCAGCTAACTTCAAGAGCAAGGCGTTTAAAGACCTCATCACTCACAAGAGAAGAGAACCCAGCTATCACAAGTTCTGCAGATAACAGTGCTTCCAACTATAGCTTCCTTAATTGATTTGAAAACCAATTCCTGGACTCACTGACGAAGAGCACGGGGAGAAACGAAAGGGCTTAAGGCAAGTCTAGCAGCCTAGAGTGGACAAAGCCAGTGTAACAGGCTTCTTCCAGATGCTTTACAGAAGGGGCCACAAGACAGGAAGTCAGAGCTCCTGCTTCTCAGACTCACTTTCACTAATTGTATCTTGCTATAAAAATACAATCTTTCAAGTGTTGTAAAAATTCAGTCTCCGAGGTATTTTTCTTTGTTTGGGGGCTGGAGTAAGGGAGAGCGAGCTGAGGACTGAATCGCATTTAGCACAAGCGGGTTCACTGAACTGAACTTCCAGGCCCTTAGCCTAAGATAAACCTTGGTAGGGTCAACAAAAAAAGGGCATGGGGGCAGTGGTGGCACATGCCTTTAATCCCAGTTTGGGATCCGGCCCTTTACTGTTGGTTGAGTAAGAATTAAGATGCTATTGTTCTGGATTAGGCTCCTGTACAGATCGGGTTAAAAAAAATAAGATGGAATCATTCATGGTTAGTTTCCAAGTCCCTAAACTAGAACAACACTTTATCTGATCTGCAGAGAGAAGAGATTAGTGTCGATTTCCACATACTTCTCAACAGGCTTGATAATGGAGCTGTCTGGTTTAATCTATGCTAAAATAATTTCCCCTGCTCCCAGGGTACAAGCCAGTCATTTTTCTTTGGTTCTCTCTTTGCTTATTTTCAGATGAGGGCTTTTGGACTGGGTTGCAGCTATCTGCAGCACTGGTGAAATATGTGTGAAGCCTTATGCTCTGTAATCGCTAAGGTCTATGGTTAAGAAGCCTTCAAATCAGGAAGGAAAAAAATGTTACTGTTTTGTCATATGTCAAATTGTGAACATTCCAGTGTCTGACTCTTAGCTAAGAGAGCATAATTGTGATAGGTAGTTACCTACAGTCTCAGCACTGCAATGGGGACACTGTGAAGCCTATCCTTGATAATGTGGGATTACTGTACTTTAACTTGGCATGAAACCCACCACTCCATTAACTGTGTACCACTCAGTATTCACCCCATTCCCCATTTTTTGGTTCAGCCTGTTAAAGTAACTTTTATTCACCTGATGTACCTGTTGTCCTGGAGGCTTACTGCCTCAGTCCTCTAACCTAGGCATAGTCCTGGAAGCTTCTAGCCTCTGTACAATCTTATCTAGGCCTACAATGTTTTCAGCCTCTGAGACTTAGTGAATAAGCTCAGAATTCAGAATTCTTTCTGAATTCTGGTTGGCTGGTTCAACTCAGCTATTTTGGCTCAAACACCTCTCCAAGCCAAATGATTCAATCTGGGTTCTCTTCCTGCCTCTGACTGAACTGCTCTGCTTGGCCTCATAATACCTTTGGCAATGTTCTAATCTTCTGTCTCCTCACTCTCTGGTGCTTTGTCTGTACCTGTGTCTAGCTTGTTCTCTCTGCAACCTGTCTTTTCTGTAACTGTCCCCATAACTGCTTCCTTCCCCTCTCTCCCTCTATCCTCTTATGTAGCCTCTCCTCTCTGTTTTTATGAAAGTTGGGCATATTCTATTCTGTTAAATCTTTCTCTGATTTGTCTATCATTGGTCACTTTGTCTACCATTCAATTAGATATCACTTTCAAACATGGATACTTCCTTCTACAAACTAACTTTACCTTTACAGTTTGGGATTAAAGGTGTGTGCTAAGGGTGTGTCTCTACCACAACCAGAGTAGCCATACTGCTGGATTAAAAATGCCTCTACAATCAGCCCTTTTACATTCTAGAACTATTTTCTGATTTAGAGTCCCTCCTACCTCAACTGTTTTTTGTTTGTTTGAAAAATGACTTGGTTGGAATCTTTATCTTCCTAAAGTCTAAATTTGCATTTATCCTATGGTAGCTCACTAATCACACAGAACATTTGATATGCTGCAAAAGTAAAGAGATACTAGACTTTGAAGGTATTTTTCTTAAGACTTAATACATGGGAAAAGAGAGATGGTTTAGTGGTTAAGAGCACTTGTTGCTCTTGCAGAGGACCCAGGTTCAGTTCCCAGCACTTACATGGTGGCTCACATCTTGTTCCTAACTCAAGGTCCTGGCAATCGAATGCCCTCTTCTGATATCCTCAGGCAAACACTCAGACACAGAAAATAAAATTACTAACAGCTTACCTGTCTCATTTCACTCTTTAATGCAGTTACTAGAAAATTTAAGACTATGCATGTGGCTTAAATTGTATTTCCACTGGACAGTGCTGCTCCAAATGTTACAGGTGTCCGAGGGTTTGATCCTGCTCCCCACGCAGCTTTGTCATCACAGTAAAAGCACCACTACCGATACAAAGACTCATAACAGGCAAACAGAAAGGAGACGGTATTCTCAATAAAGAGGAGTGTATGGAGAACAGGGCTTCCCACAGACAAAGCGAAAGCTGAACAAAGAGTTCGAGTTTTAAAAGTCAGAGACAGCAAAGACCTATATTTTAGGTTACTTTGAAGAACTCAACTGTACAACTGTTTTTTCCTTTGGAGAAACTCCTAAATTAAGCCTATTCCATTTAGCTCTCATTTCCTTTCAGGAAATGAATGCTGTGGTGGCAAAGATTTAACCAAGTACCTGTATTACAGCCTTGGGGGATAGGAGGCAGGATCTGAAATTATGTAGACCAGGATGACCTTGAATGCCTAAGAGACCCACCTGCTGAGACTAAAGGCCTACCAAGAGCCTGGCCCCAGTTCCTGAATTCTTCCAAACCTTAATCTAGACAAGAGCTGATGGTTTGAGACTAGAAACACTGTTTCTCTAATCAAGGCTGATCTAACACACAAGCTTCCCATTAAAAATCGCTGGAAATAAAGCTAATTACATTCACTTAACAGAGACAATGAAATGTAATATCAGCAAAACACTTAGCAGCAAATCCTGTCCCACTTATAAGGAAAGCTTATGGAAATTCAAAGCTGAAGCCTGGATTTCATTTATATCAACAAAACAAAATTTTGGAAAAGGCACATATACACACAAATATATATACATATACATATATATATATATATATATATATATATATATATACACACACACACACACACACATACCCATACACACACACCATTGAGGCATATTGAAAAAAATATATATATATAAAACAAGATCCGATGTGTAAATTTAAAATCATTAATTGTTAAAGCTACGAACCATTCTATAAGCACTCCTTTCAAGACGTTGACCATCTTTTCCCAGGCAGACGGTACAGATGACTTCAAGAATTCTGAAATAAATAGATAAAATTTAAAAGGGATGAAGTGACATAAAATCCAAAAGTTTGGCTAGAACAGAGAAGTAATTTCAGGCAGGAATCTAAATCTTAGGCTAGACCAAGGAAGTAGGCTTCAGACATGAAAACACTTTGGGCTAGGACAGGGAGTAGACTCAGATATTTTGGTCATCCTGATAAATCCTTAGAAATAGTGATCAAGAGGGTGATCAAGGGCTGGGCAGTGGTGGTGCACGCCTTTAATCCCAGCACTTGGGAGGCAGAGGCAGGCGGATTTCTGAGTTCGAGGCCAGCCTGGTCTACAGAGTGAGTTCCAGGACAGCCTGGGCTACATAGAGAAACCCTGTCTCAAAAACCAAAAAAGAGTGATCACAGAACTTTATTGCCTTGCTTGTTCTTTGACTATTTGTGTTTACTGTCTTGCTTGTTCCTTGACTATTTGCATCTATTGTATTGCTAGTTCCTCAAACTAGAACTGACCTTAATACTTGCATGTAATTAAAATGGTATAAAAGCAAAAAGGAGCAGGGGGATGGGATGGGGGGTTTCAGGGAGGGGAAATGGGGAAAGGGGATGACATCTGAAATGTAAATAAATAAAATATCCAATAAAAAAGAATCCAGATGTTTAAACCAACTTTGGGGGTTTACATCTGAGATGAAACAAAAAACTAAAGTATTAAAAAGCTAACATTAAGGCATCCAGATATTCCCATTCTTACCAATGCTAAAACAGATTAATTGGAATATTAATAAAGCATAAATCCTACTTAGAAATTCTACTCTAATTAATCTTTTAAAAAGTAAGCTTCAAACATGTCAGGGTGGTTCAGCTTTTAATCCCCACACTCAGGAGGCAGGGGCTGGCAGATCTCTTTAGTTCTGGACCAGCCTGGACTACATTGTAAGTACCAAACTCAAAAAACAAAAATAAAAACAAAAGCAAAAAAACCCTCCGTTACTCAAAATCAACGAGCTCATCACAAGTGTAAAATAGATTCATTGTTCAAATGCTTTCGTTTTATATCCAAGACAACGATACACAGGCAAGATTCTGGGAGGCAGAAACTATAAATGGTAGTTCCGAAAGAGCCTCAAAATTACAGTGACCCACCACCTGATTCTACCGATGAGACCGAGTACGTGAACAAAGCAGGTCATTTAAGTTTACAAACACCTAGGCTTCCAGATCTTGCGTTCTTTTGATTAATAAACTACATCCTCTAAGGATCTGCAATGGAAATCGCCTGCGTGACAGCCATCATAGTGTCTACACCCAGGCGTGGACCGCTACCTTCCCCACAGGAAAACCGTGATGCAATGCGTGATGGCCGCGCGGAACCGCAACACACGCCTTAGAAAGGGTGCGGGACTTCGGCGCGCCCACTGGACCGAAGGCTCCCTGTCTTTCCTCCTCCTCCCCGCCTTATTTTCAATGCCGTCAAGGCCCACGCAACCTACTTTTACAAGGCGCTCAGAGACAGCAGCGTTCCGACCCCAACACACCAGAGCTGTCCCGGCGTCGCCGACTCACTGCGCCTGTACTGTACGTCATCGCGCCAGCGACACTCTAGTGGGTGGGACGAATCTCTGGGGGGCGGAGTCTAGGGCGGGGCCAAGCTAGCAGAGGCGGGGTCACGTGCCCACTGTCACCGGGCTAGGGCGCAGGTTGTTAGTGGCGGCGGAGGAGGGTGGGCTCTGTAGCCGCCGAGTCCACCGGCGAGCGGTCCGGGCTGCCAGAGTCCTTGCGCCGGCAGGTAGGACAGGCGAACGGACAGACGGACGGCGGGAGGGAGGGCAAGGGCGTCGCCGCAGCCCCGGGAGAGGAGGCCGTAGCCCTGCACGGACACTAAGGTCGCGCGGCCTCGGAGGGACCCGGTGACCCGCCGCGGCACCTGGGGCCCGATTTTGGCCCCTTGCTTGATTGGTCACTGCGCCGCGCTGGTTGCCCCTGAGTCTTGGAGGAAAGCACCTGCATGAAAGGTGCACCATCCTGGGCTCCGTGTTCTCATGAGCCACACCTGAGTGGGACACATCTTGCTCTTCTCCGACCTGGGAGATTAAATAGTCGGAATGCTGATCTGTTTTCTAATCTCAGTAACCGTCATTTTAAACTGAAGGCCTCCAGAAGGTTCTGAAGTTAATCCTGTTCCCAAATTCTGATCTGTAGTCTTAATGGAGCTGAGTTTTCAGCAGTTGAGACAGGAGCTCAACTTGGTTGTAGCTTCTTGAGCCTTAGGTTAAATTATATTTCCACATTTAAGCTCATGCTGATCTTTGCTTTACACTTGACTTAACCAGTCTCACCCTTCCACCTGCTTCCCTCTCAGCTCCTCAAATGTCTTTTTTAAAAAATGTATTTATGTATGTATGTATGTATGTATGTATGTATGTATATGTGGACCAGGCCTGTCATGCATGTTACCCAATGCACGAGAGGTCAGAGAACAATTTGAAAGAGTCCATCCTCTTTGAGCACGTGAATCTCTGGGATCTAACTCTGTTCATCACATTTGGCAGCAAGAAAGAGCCATATTTGCTGAGCCATCTTGCCATCCTGGGTCCTCTTATTTTTTCCCCCCACATCTGCTGTACCCTACTCCTTTTTTAATTGTTGTCATTGTTGTTTATTTATTTATTTTGTAGAAATGCTGATTTTTTTCATTCTTTTACATAATTTAAGAGGCTTTAGACATTCTTACCATTAAGAGTTAGTGGTACCTAAAGGGCCACTCACTTCAGAACAATCTGCCTGTGACCTGAAGTTTCCACAAAGGGTGGAAGTGTTCAAATTTCACAGTGCATTAGACAAACAGAAGTGTGGTCTAAATACCATTTTACCAAGAAGATTAAAATATTTGGAAAAGTAGGCAGCAACTAGTTGTTATTAAAAGATAGACAAAGGGAGGGAGTAGTTTTATTTGCCTCTATTAAGTGAGCATAAATATACTCAAATGAGCCACTATGGCTTTTTCCGACATAGAGATAACAAACCCCATTACCATTTCTGTCCCCTTAACACCTCCTCTCCCTTCCATCACCCTGGGAGTCTACCTTTCTTTCTCATGCACCTCCCCCCCAAACACAGACACACAGACATACACTCTCTCTCTCCCCCCCCCTCTAAATTACAAGTATGAGAGACTGTGCAATGTTTGTCATCGTGGGCCTAGCTTACTTCACTTAGCACCGTGACCTCGTCGGCCATGTTCCTTCAGGTGAGGACTTTGCATTCTCCTTTATGGCTGAATGAGACTGTAACATTTTCTTTATCTGTTTGCTCCACTGGACACCTAGGCTGATTGATTGCACATGGATACCAGGAACAGTGCAACAGTAAAACTCGGATGTGCTGGTATCTCTGGATCAAGCGGACTTTGACTCTTGGTTGTGTACCCAGAAGTAGTGTGGTGGGATCATATCGTAGGTCTAAAAGGGAGTATTAATTTAGACTCAGGACCCATCTCCAACTGGGCACAGGAGCCTCCTTCCCAGTTCTTTGCTCTACACACTGCTGTCTCCCCAAACAAGACAGCTGTCCATCATGTGAACTCTGCTTCTGCCACACTTAGGTGGAGAGCTCCTCACTTCTTCAGGAACCGTGAACCCCACTCTTTTAAAGCTGCCCCAAGTTTAATCTCCCTAAGTGTCTTTGCTTTTCTTATTTTCTTTTGGCCCTATCTTCCTCTTGGAAACATCAGTCCTGCGGCTGGGCGGTGGTAGTGTAGGCCTTTCATTCAGCACTTGGGGATCTCTGAGTTCCAAAAGGAGTTCTACAACCACCAGGGATGTTACAGAGAGAAACCTTGTCTCAAAAAACAAAAAGCAAAAGCAAGAGAGGAAAAAAATCAGTCCTCCAACTCTCAGTTGTCCTGTGCATAAACTCTACTGTTGAGCTGCGGGTTCTGGACTCACACCTGCACATTAATGACCTGTGGGTAACCTGAACTCCACCTCACAAATGCAAATGGCTTCATCTCTTATGCTCACCTCAGACCCCTTTTGCTTTTCCACTGACTGAAATCCTCTAGACATCTCTGAGCACCAGATGTGTACCAGACACTCTTCTTGTGGTACAAAGGTGAACACGTAATTAATTTTGCTGGGAACAGAGAGACTCTCTATATAGACAGATAAACGGAAAGGTGCCAAAATGCGGATGTGACAGGGCTAGAAGCGTTACTTTGGTTAGGAAGTATCAGCCATGGATGGCTGTCACAAAGACTGTGAAATTGAACTTGTTTATAGCAGCACTGATGACCAGGAATCTTAGTGATAGAGACACTGTTCATAATGGCATTCAAAACTAAAGGTGTGTAGACATACATTACATTGAAGATGTGAGATTCTGGGCTGGAGAGGTGGCTCAGCTGTTAAGAGCACTGGCTACTCTTCCAGAGGACCTGAGTTCAATTCCCAGCAAGCACATAGTGGCTAATTATATATGAACATATTATATATATGTAATAAACATCTTTTAAAAAACCCACTTGAGGCTGGGAATGGATTCCCTCAGAGTTTTCAGTAGGGATAACATTGTGATTTTAGTCTTGTGACACTAGGCAGACACAGCCAGGTATCTAGGAATCTGCATTTTATTAAAAGGCCTATGAATTGGCTTTTTCTGTCTCTGCTTCCCCTCTGCCCCGTCTTACAAAAAAGACCTGCCCAGGTTAGCCTTAGACTCACAGAGCTCCACCTGCCTCTTTCTCCTGAGTGCTGGGACTAAGGTGTGGCTTATTTACACAAGTCCGTTTAAAAACTATTAATATTGCATAACTGACAGCATCACATGACAGAGTAAGTTCCGAATCCTGCTGTGGCCCCTACTTCCAGCCTCTCAACAGCATGAGTTGACAAAACCAGCAAGAGGAGGAAACCTGAGGAAACTCTCAGTTCATCCTAATAGACATTTGTAAAACACACTACCTGTTCTTTCCAAGTATGTCTGGGGCCGTCATCAAGATAGGGCCCATTCTGTGCCGTAAGACAGACCTGAGTGTGATTTGCAAGAGTTGGACTTCTGAAGTTTGCTTTTAACCATGGTGGAATTAAGCTAAGAATAATATAGAAATCAGGAGAAATCCAAAATATTTGAGAATGAATCTCACTTTTTAATGGGTTAGCTGAGCTTTGATAGGACAGTCTCGAAGGACTGTATTCCAGGAAACAGACTGGAAAATGTCTTCTTATGAGACCAAGGAAACAATGTGAAACTTGGTTTTACCAGCAGCACAAGTAAATGGACATTACTCATGGAACCCTTGAGTGTGTGTACCTGTGTGTGTGTGTGTACCTGTGTGTGTGTACCTGCGTGTGTGTGTGTGTGTGTGTGTGTACACATGAGCACAGAGGCGTGGGTGTCAATAACACATGTCCTTAATCATCTTCCACCTTCTTTTAAGAAAATTCATATCCCTATTTTATTTAGTGTCTCTGTGGGGTTGAGGAGCTAGGATGTGCCACAGCAGCTGCGGGTCAGAGAATAGCATTCAGGAGTCCAGTCTCTCCTTCCACTTTGTGGAGCTCCAGGCTTGAACTCAGGGCATCAAGCTTGGTCTAGGCACCTTTACCGTCACTCAGCGACTTCCTTTGCTCTATCGTATTTTTTGAGACACTATCTCTCACCAAACCTGGGCTTCATCGTTTTGGCTCTAGACTTGCTGGTTACCACCAAGCCCCAGGAAACCTGCTTCTGCTTCTACAGTACTGGGCTCATAGGCACATGCTGCTGCCCCAGGCTTGCGACATGCACACTAGAGATCCAAACTCAGGCCCTCAGCTTTTCTTGCGAACATTTTACCAGCTGAACTGTCTCTTCTGCCTTGGAAATTGAAACTCTTAAGTCCATGTTCTAAGCCCATTAATTTGAAGTATGTGTGATAGTCCAGTCAGGTCTTTCACACATATCATAGGTCAGAGCACACAGGACTCTTCGCAGGAAACAGCCCCACAAGATGAGCTCTTGATCAAAGATTATAACGCTTACTCAAACCGGCTACCACAACAGCTAGGCACCGAAATGGAGTTTCAACACAGAGACTTTTACTTATAAAAAGTGCTCAGGAGGCAGAGGCAATTGGATTTCTGCGAGTTCAAGGCCAGCCTGGTCTACACAGTGAGTTCTAGGACAGCCAGGGTTATGTAAGAGACTTTGTCTCAGACAAACAGTTTATAAAATATAAAGGAATATTAAGAAAGTTCGTGCATTGGCTCATTGCAGAAACATGACCCATCCCAAGGCCGAGTGGCGCACACAGCTATTTATCACTGATCAGGGGGAAGAGTTACAGGGTCAGCTGGGGCTGGTTAGACTGGAGCTGCGGCATTTGCTGGGCAGTTAGTGCTGGCTGTCAGCTCGCACTCATTAGCTGCCTTAGAGGGAATTTTCTGCCTCTCTCCATGGCTGTTGGGCCTTCATTTATCAAGAGCAGACATGCGTTGTATTGCATACACTTGAATTTTCCTGGTTTCCTGTTAATTACCACTTACAATTGAACACAACTCAATAATGAAAGTGCCAGCAAACTTTATTCTAGTAAAGTCTGGTTTGTTTTCAGGGGCGAAACCCTTAAGGTGATATTTTTTTCTCAGTTTTTTGAGTAATCTGACTGCAAGTGGCCCACTGTGATGATATGTCCTTAGGGTCAAAGAAAATGTTTCAAATATATACTAAATTAACCTTGTTACAATTACTTTCCAACACAGGATGTCCCTTGCTGCCTACTGTGTCATCTGCTGCAGAAGGATAGGAACCTTTGCTTCCCGATCAAAAAGCCACACGCCCTGGAGGAATATCAGTGAGTACAGATCCAGGCCTCCATGTTCTCATAGACGTAGTGATGGGATTGTGACCACTTTCCTGGAAAGCACTACCAAACCAGTAGTCAACGCTGCATCTCTCGTTTGCTTGTGTCTTTCTGTACTAATGATTCAGACTAAGTTTGTAAGTCCAGAGCCAAACATGAGCCAAAAAATTGTCCTGGCCAATCAGCTGTTCATGTTCATCTTTCTGTTCTTAACTCTGACTGTGTTCTCATCAGCACTCATTCGCTTAGCTCTTGCAGAGCTGGGTACCGCTGGATGCAGTGCTGAGCAAGGAGACTATGCTCCTTGTCCTGAGGAGGCGTGGGCTCCACCCTCATCTCCCCACACTGCAGGCAGGGATCCGCCCTGGTCCATCTCTCTTCCAGAGCTTTCCCTGACCATCTCGGCCATGCAGTCGAGTCAGTACAGAAGCTGGTTGGTTAGCGGGCTCCTCCCATGGATTAAGCCCAGAGGGCAGTGTCATGTTCATTGCTCTGTCCCATTGCTTAGTGTCCTCTGTGGCATTCGGGAGGCGTTCCTGCTGTGCTTGTTGAACAGAAGGATGAAGTAACAGCTCCCCCAGCACTGATCCTTTTATTTGTAGAACAAGGCTGTGCAACCTTCATTTATTTGACAGTAAACATTTATTGACTGTCTACCGCGCACCGGGTGCTACCTTCAGCCCTGAGACTAAGGTGTTGAGTAAGATGAAGTCCCTGTCCTTATGCTGTTTCCTTTGAAGCTTTCATGTAGACCTGTAAAAATTGGGTGGCTGGGGCACGCCTTTAATCCTAGAGCTCAAGAGAGAGAAGTGGGTGGATCTCTTTGAGTTTGGGGCCCGCCCTAAGCATAGAAAGCAGGCTAGCTAGGATTACACAGTCAGACCCTGTCTCCCCAAACAATACAAAACAAAAATATATCTGTTGGGCTGGCACGGAGGCTTAGTGGATAAGAACGTTTACTGTGCAAGCATGAGGATCTGAGTTCAAATCCCCAGCACCCACATAAGTAAAAAACTGGTGTAGTACATGTACCTGTAACTCCAGCACTGAGAAGTGTGGATCAGAGGTAAGGGGATGCTGGCTGCCAGCCTAGGTCCAGGTCCTGTGAGAGACCCTTCTCAGCAGAGCAGAGCAGAGAGTTTCAGAGCAGGGTGGAGGTCCTCCTCTGGCCTTCATGTACCATGCATGGGCCTGTGCACCTCTACATGACAGAGAGCATGTGTATATACACACACACACACAGACGTGTGCACACGCCTATTTTTGCAGTTGATTCTATTTTACCCGGGGATTCTGATTCTGAATTGGAAGTATAAAAGAAGCAGGAGCAGCAGAGATAGAGCAGGCTTTTCTCTTTCCTGCTCTCAGTATCTCCAGTACAGTGAGCTGCAGAGTGTCGCGTTGACTTTTAGTGGAGGAGAACAGAGAAGAAAGGCCGTGAAGATGGAGGCTGGGATACAGCTCAGGGGAAGAGCATGTGTCTAAAGCACACAAGCTCCTGTGTGATGCACAGTGTTGAGAGAGACTCTGGGAGTCTAGTCAGAGGCCCAGGCAGGAGCAGCAGAGGAGAAAGCACCGGTTGCTCCATGGTGAGGGCCAGAGAACACCAAAGAGCCGTCACGGAGTCAGACTGTCCCCGGGAGTCACAGTCACGAAATCTGTGCATTGCCCCCCTGCGGACCTCCTCATCCCTGTGGTAGACCTCCTGTGGAGGCCCATGGGTTCCTGGGGAAGTGTCCCCCTTGTAGATTTCCACAAGTGTCTGACTGTAGTGCATGACCAGCCTTCCTGCTCAGCAGTCCAGGATTGGATAGGCACCTGTCTGCCAGTAATTATTTTTAAAAAATATATATTTAAAATGTTTCCAAGGTCCAAACAAAAGCTTATACTCTTGTTGCCAGTATTTTAGATGGGGCCATATAATCTCTGCTGCGTAGAGCACCAAGGTCAGTATGATTGTTTGGGGAAAAGTCACTTAGTTCCCATCTGAGAGTTCCTCAGTGAAGGTGCTGGGAAGCTTGCTGACCCCACCTGACCCTGCTTGCCTCTGGCTGCAGAAGCCCCTACTGCTTCTGCTCTGTGGGCCTGTGAGCCTGGCTGTAGGACAGTGCCTGGGACCTGACTTCTTTTGATTTGGTTTGGGGTAACAGAGCAGGAGCTTGAAGGGTGAGTGTGGGAGCCAGGGGTCTAAATCATGTTTCCTCAGTGCTGCTGCCATGGATTGATAGTCACTGATAATGAGTATAATATGTATCTCTTTCTTTTTGAAGGAAATATATTAAGATTTACTGGATCTCTCATTGTCGGGTAAGTACTGATGCTTACTCTCCAGTATTAATGGCTTCATGGTACTATCGCTGGAAATCTTAACAGAAGAGAGTGGTAGAGAACACAGAGTACCCACGGGATGTGGCCTGTCGGAAGGTTGAACGTGCCCCCGTAGAGGATGTATGTGAACATGTGGACAGAAATATGACTGATGGCTCTGTAGGTAATAGAGTCAAACTAAAGACGTCACGAGTGTTCATTTGCAGGAGAGTGGATAAGTAAGTTGTGGGAAGTGTGTTAGTGTTGTGAGGGAACTGTACAGTAGTTTGGATGCGTCACAGGAACGTAAGGCTGAATAAAAGAACAAATCTAGCCTATGTCTCTGCACATGAAGCTTAAAGCAAGGCCAAGCTGAGCACCGTGTTTAAAGATGTGCACAGGCAGCAGACCCACGATGGGAAACAGTGACGTTATGATTATTGCTACCGAGAGAGAGAACGCTCTGTGATGTTGCGGTTGTTCATCTTATGTTTCTTGCTTGGATATAGTCACGTGGCTACTTGGTGAGTTTTGTGTGTATGTGTATGAGCATGGTGTGTGTGTGTGTGTGTGTGTGTGTGTGTGTGTGTGTGTTGGTTGGTTAGTTGGTTTTTTCAAGACAGGGTTTCTCTGTGTAACTCTGGCTGTCCTGGAACTTGTTCTGTAGACCAGACTGGCCTCCAACTCAGAGATCCACCCTACCTCTGCCTCCTGAGTTTGCCATTAAAGCTGTGAGCCACCACTGCCTGGCTCACTTGTTATTTTAAACTGAGATGAACATATACACATATGTACACATCTGTATACCATATGTAAAATGACACTTGCACATTACTGTATGCTAGTTTCCTAGATCCTGACTTGTGAGGAACTTTTTGTTTCTTTTTTAGGGGTTCTTTATTTATTACATACGAAGTGCTAGCCCTGAAAAGATCTTTAACATTGGACACCCAGGTGGTCGAAAGAGAAAAAATGAAGTCTTACATCTATGTGCACAAGGTTCCAGTAGACAGATTAGACAGTCGAGGTAAGTTTCATGCTACATAAAATTTAGAAGTGGGTCTGTTTTGAGTGCAGTTTTGACAAGTAGCTTCAGTGTTCTGGAAGGATCGGTAGAGCCTGTTGGAGCCAGGCTCCCAAGTGTCTTAGGTACGGCTCCATTACAGTGAAGAAAGACCATGACCAAGACAACACTTATGAAAGGAAGCATTGAATTGGGGGCTTCCTTACAGTTTCAGAGGCTTAGTGTATTGACATGGCTGGGAGCATGGCAGCATACAGGCAGGTGCTGGAGCAGGAGCTGAGAGCTGTATCCTGATCTGTAGCCGGGCAGAGAGACTGAGCCAGGCATGGGCTCTTTGAAACGTCAAAGCCCACCCCCAGTAACGTACTTCCTCCAGCAAGGCCACCTAATCCTTCCAATTCTATCAGAGCGTCTCACTCCCTGGTGACCAAGCATTCAAATCTATAAGCCTATGGGGGCCACTCTTACTGAAACAACGACACCAACCATTAACTGATGACCGGATTTGGGGCTTCTGTGTCTCCCCAAGTCTTTAGCTCCTTTAGAACAGAGGACTGGCCCCTGCCCTTGTGTCCAACTCTGGGTTCCCTGTTCCCTGGGAGCCATCAGCTCAGTTTTGCAAATACTTGCTTTTGCTGTTCATCTCAGAGACTATCATACTGTAGGGGCTGACTCATGCATCTGAGCTCAGGAGACAGATTGAGAAAAGTAAATTCCACTTATTTATTGCTGCCATCTGTTAACAATACTGAGTGGTCTGTCCATGTGAGATAGGACATCTCCTCCACATCAAGGCTGTATGCTGGCCACTTGGTTACTCGGTAGAGGTGAGATTTTGGCTTAGAGAAGGTCCCTTCGGCTCTGGGCATCTTGGTGAGCCCTCAATCTACTCCGCCTGTGAGCAGGTCACAGCCCTGCATGGGGTGGCCTACTTGTGAACTATATATTACCACCACGCTATCTTTATTGCACTACCTCCTTGGGCTTCAGCACCCGTCTGGGCTACTTACAGTTTCAGTTACGGAGACTGTTATCATGTCTTATAGTTTACCTGTCTGGTGAGGTGCAAGCTTATTCTTAAAGCATTTTCCAAGTTCTGGTCTAGGTCAGCTATTTACAGGGAACATTCTGAATACTGGCTTATGTTCTTTATGAGGCCTGCTAGAGATACTTTCTCACCTTGTTCTCTTTCTCCCTGACCTTGTTCTGAGTCCGAAGCATTCTGGTGTGTGTGTGTGTGTGTGTGTGTGTTTGTTTTTTAAGTTTTTTTCTAGACAGGGTTTCTCTGTGTAGCCCTGGCTGTCCTGGAACTCACTCTGTAGACCAGGCTGGCCTCGAACTCAGAAATCCGCCTGCCTCTGCCTCCCAAGTGCTGGGACTAAAGGCGTGTGCTGCCACTGCCCGGCATAAATTAGATTTTATTCATTTTTATTATTATTGATTTTATGTATATGAGTACACTGTAGCCTGAAGCATTCTGTGTTCACACAATACAGTGAGGATGTGTTGTCACTTACAGTGGCAATAAAAGGTCACAGGTGGTATTATTCTTATGTTTTTTTGTGATAAACTTTGGAGCCTAGTTTATGTATTTCTTTTTGAAGTGTTGGAGCGTGATATCAAAAGTGCACATTTGGTCTTATTTGCTGCCATCATTTTAGGGATTGTTTGGCAGGCAAGAAAAGAACTTCACAGAGCAGTAAGAAAAATGTTGGCGGCAGCAGCCCGGGTACTGCGGAGCCCATTTGCTGGTACGTGTAGTCATGGGTCCTCATCAGTGGTCTGAAAGTCGCGTGAACAACCAGCCAAGACTGGAACATATTCTTACTTTTTTTAACTCTCAGAAACTGGCTGAAGAACTTCCTCTTGGCTATGTTTAATTTTACAGCTTAAGGGCTTTGGACAGTTTTCTTCCATTTGTGTGTCTATAATGTTAAGATACTTAAATAACTGCTGGGAGTGAATATTCTTTTATAAAATAATTAGAATGTAAACTTTGTAAGAAAATCACTCCCTTGTTTTCTTATCAAATCTCCAGTTTGGTGTTAGCTCTGAAACACTGTTCTAGCCAGGCATAGGTGTTAATCCCAGGACTCAGAAGGAAGAGACAGGAAGTCTCTGAGTTTGAGGCCAGCTTGGTCTACAATATAAGTTCCAGGACAGCCAGGGCTACACAGAGGAACCCGACTCAAACAACAAAGAAGGAATGATGAAACGCTGCCCTAGTTTCCTCACAAAGCTGATGTAATGGAGAATACACAGGATAACTTTCTAGAATTAAGAGCAACTACAGAGAACTTACCAAATCCTGTTTTTAAAACATCTTTAAAGATGTTTCATGTGAATATTTGAATGTGGAGTTTGCCTGGATTTTTGACTTTTGTGAGTGCTCTTGGATATGATAATAACATCATGAGTATATGAGAGATATTTGTTCTGTGTTTTGAAACAGGGTTTCTCTACATAGCTATGGCTGTTCTAGAACTCATAGAAATCCGCCTGCCTCTGCCTCTTGTCTGACCCAGCAATAAATTTGTTCTTAGGAGATGCAGATTGAACCTGAAAGGATAAGCAGTTGTTCTGTCTGCATAGGTGGCTTACACACGTGTACACACAGGTGATTCAGTATGGCAGAGTGACAGTTGCTGGTGCTAGATTTGACAGGCATGTGGATTTTTGTTGAATCTGCTTCAAAAAGATTTTTAATGGAAAAAAGAAAATTACCACATAATAAAAGTTATAATAGAAAATTAAATAAAAGTACACATATAATACATGTTGTAAATATAAAAAAAATGACAGAGCTAAAATCAAACACTAGGTCATCATCTGTATCTGCTTTTAATGTTCCCACTGCAATTTCCAACTATTTACCATCCAGTATAACTGAATATTAGAATATTTTGGAGTTAGGAAGATGGCTCAGTCAGTAAAGTGCTTTCCCTTCATGTGTGAGGATCTGAATTTAGATAACCTAGCACCTACATAGAAAGTCAGTACACGGTTACAGTACGAGCCTGTAATCGCAGCGCTTGGGAAACAGAGATAGGAGGCTCTATAGGGCTTACTGGCCAGCCTGCCCAGCAGGATTGACAAGCTGCTTCAGTGAGAGACTCTGACTCAGATATGACGAATGCATATGGTGTACACACACAGATGTGCACAAATGTGTATAACACACACACATGTTGTCTTAACTGTTTACACTGCTGTCTGTGTGTTTGTTGAATTCTTTTTGCAGACACCTTCAGCACAGTTGACATAGAAGATCATGACTGTGCAGTGTGGCTGCTCCTGAGGAAGAGCCGGGAGGACGATCTAGCTGCCCGGCTGGAGGCCGTGCGGGAACTGGCAGGGGCTCACCACTGGCATGGTAATGAGGACCACGGATCTGCTTAGCCACCTTGTGTTCTCTGCTGTATGTGAGAAGATATGCTATAGGGAAGAAGATTCAAGGCTGTCTAAATATGAAAACATACGAGGAAGGAAAAGGATTCAGCAGTCTTAATATGAAAACCTACAAACACACACACACACATCTACACATACTCAAACATTTGAGGAAAATCTCTTTTGATAAACTGGAAAACCTGCTGAGTAGTGAACAATACTTGGGAAATTTGGAGTTACAAAGTTGTAGAATAGTTAAGAATTGGGGTGCTTACTTAATCTTGTGATAATTTTAAGTTAATCTTGATGTTAACAGAAACTGTATTTTGACAACAGACTACCAGTACAGGATAATTGCTCAGGCCTGTGACCCAAGGACCCTTATTGGTTTGGCACGAAGCAAAGAAAGTGATCTTCGCTTTTTTCTTCCACCCCCTCCTTTGCCGTCTTTAAAAGAAGTAAGCAAACATGTTATTAAGGGATTGAATACATTAACTCATGTTCCTAGTGTGGGTTCTGATAAACATCACAGAAAGCTGGTGCCTGGTTGGACACAAGCAGGAGTCTTAGTTTCCACAGAGCCGCCATCCTCATGAGGCTGCTTCTCCGCTGATTACTGCGTGTGGAGAGAGGCTGTCAGCATCCAAGAGGGGGCCTTGTGCTATGCTTTTTTTGTTACTGCTTTAAGATTTATTTTCTTTTTCACTGTGTGTGTACCTGAATGTGGGTGTGCGCATGTGAGGATTGGTGTCTAGGGAGGTCAGAAGAGAGCAGTAGACCCTGGGAGCTGGAGTTACAGGTGGTGGTATGCCTCCAGATTTGCGTTCTGGGAGCTGGACCACAGAAGCAGTGCTTGCTCATACTGCTGAGTCACCCCTGCATGCTCCTGACCGCCAAGTCACCCCTGCATGCTCCTAACCACTGAGTCACCCCTGCATGCTCCTGACTGCTGAGTCACCCCTGCATGCTCCTGACTGCTGAGTCACCCCTGCATGCTCCTGACTGCTGAGTCACCCCTGCATGCTCCTGTCTGCTGAGTCACCCCTGCATGCTTCTGACCACCGAGTCATATCTGCAGCTAGCCTTGCTGAGTTATAGAACAGGTTTTTCTCGACCTGAGTTCTCCTGACATCTTAGATCACTAACTTTTTACTGGGAGAGGCTGCTCTGTATATTCTAGGACATTTAGCAGTGTTCCTGGACTCTGCTCCTAGCATAACAGGAGTCCCCCAGGTTGTAACAAAGAAAATTGTCTTCAGACATTGCTAAATATGCCCTGAGGATTAGAAATACCCTTTGTAAGAACCATGGTCAGAAGCATTTTTTATTTTGTTATTATTTTTATTTATTATGTATACAATATTCTACCTGTGTGTATGCTTGTGTGCCAGAAGAGAGCATCAGATCTCATTACAGGTGGTTATGAACCACCATGTGGTTGCTGGGAATTGAACTCAGGACCTCTGGAAGAACAGCCAGTGCTCTTAACCTCTTGAGCACCTTCCTTAGAGGAGAAACCAAAAGTAAAATTTGATGTAAGCAGTCATTAGAAAAATAGAAATTGAATCCAGAGGGTATTAATTATCATGGAAAATGAAATATTAATACACTCTAGACTTAATGATAACCTTAATTAGTAAGGTCACAGTTCATTTTGAGTCAAGATATAAAAAAGTCCTAAGGTAAACATTGAGTTACAATTTGTAACAGTCTTTTTTTTGTGTGTGTGTATTTTTAAGACTATTTTATGAGTATGTATGGGGTTTGTTTGCATGTATATACATATACCACGTGGTGCTTGTAGAGGCCAGAAGGGGGCATTCAGTCTGGAACTGGAGTTGTAGGTGGTTGTGAGCCATCACATGGGTGCTGGGAACCAAACCAGCATCCTCTGCAAAAGCAGTTTGTGCTCTTAACTACTAGACCATCCCTCTAGCCCCGTAATATGTCTTTAAATGTGATAGCAGGCGTGGAAGCATAGAACTAAAAATGAATGATGATGTACCTTCACTTTGGTGGGTGAGTGCATTCCAGATCGCCACCATTGTCCAACCTGTCTCCTTACCTGTGTGTATATCCTGGCCTCGGCTCTTCAGCTGATTTTGTTGTTGTACTCAGCTGTGGCGTTTTCATCTAAAGACTTCCTCTGTGTTTTCTTTCAGGACTCCTCCACAGAAGAGGAACTCAGGCATTTGCTGGCTTCTTTACCACAGACAGAACTTGATGAGTGTCTCCAGTATTTTACATCCTTGGCTCTTAGTGAAAGCAGCCAGAGCCTGGCCGCACAGAAGGTCTGCTTAAATCGTATTCAGCAAATGGTTTGAGTGTTAACACTTTTCCAAGGCACTGTGCTGGGGCTGGCAGCCGGGCTTAGTCATTTGCCCAGTTACAGACACTGTACTCTGCCCTGGGCTACATAGTGTCGTGAAATCAGGGAAAGGTAGACATAGATGTGTATAAGAAAGATTCGGGTTACGGGAGTTAGCTCAGCATATGCGCTCATTTACGGTGATGCAGGAGCGAACCCTGCTATTGCACCTTGAGAATCAACAGTCAGAACTGGGGTACAGCTCGGTGGGTGACAGAGCGCAGCTCGGTGACAGAGCGCTCACCTAGCATACTCTAGACAGGGGTTCGATGCTCAGCATTTGAGCCGATACAGCCAGGCCTGTGTTCTAATCTGAACTCTAGATTTGATTATGCAGCCCTCTCCTTGGTGTACAACAAGAATCATGAATTTATTGGATCAAACGTGCCCTCCCTTGACCCAGGCCTAACGCTCTGATCTTCCTCTCAGGGAATGGCACAGCATCTGCCCATCTGCTTACGCTGCAGCCTAGCCGGCCTGCTCAGTCCTCTACATGTCTACAGCTGTCAGCAGCTGCAGGGTGTGGCTGTGGGCACTCATTGAATCTGTTCACCTCCTGACCTGCAGCCACCTGTTCTTCCACTTCTCTCTACAGTGTCAGCTTCTCCTTCTCTTCCTCAATAATCTTTAAATCTCTTCCAGAGTCTTTATTAGCTCCCTTTTAGGGTGTTGGTTCCCACTGATGCTGGTATTGGCTTTCCCTCGTGATTGTGTCCTTCCTCGGACTTGTGGATAAACTGATTGTTTTCCAGAGAGTTCCACACACCATGATGATAGCTTTATTCCCACAGAGCAGGTTTTGTTTTCTTTCTACTTGAAGGTCTCTTGGTGATTTCTCTCTTGAAGGAATTCCATGGAAGGACACATAAAAGCAAAAATTAAGTAAGCAAAGACAGGGACAGAAAGTCACAGTCAGTCTATGTATGTCAGGAATGGGCAGAGGTAGTCATAGCATAGTGATCTCTGTGTTGCAGATTTTAAAGAAGTTTTTGATTTATAAGGTTGGTGGCATATTCATGGAGTAAAGTGACCTTTTCCCTGCCTGCATTATAGTGGATAAGACCTCCCTTTTACAGAATGTATTCCCATGAACCTCTAGAAAGCCCTACAAAGGGGAGGATGCAGAACCTTTGTTAGTACACATTTGTGGGGAAATGCCCTGGTGCCCTAGTTTTTGATATTTCAGGAACAGCCTGCCTGTGACATCAAATGTTTAACCACAAATAGGCTTTCTGAACATCAGGAGCACAGCTGCCAAGAAACAGCTGTCGCTTGCCTACCTCATATCCAGTTCCTTTTCAAGACTGCTCAAGGACCGCGGTTGATCTGACAGTCTGTTGGTTAAGATATTTTGTTAGTTTTAAGTTGAAGTCTGGAGCCAGCATCTTAAACAAAGCAGAGTGCAGAACAGAAGCTGTCGGTAGGCTTCTCCTCTTGGCTTCTCCACTCTGGTCTGTCTTCTGTGTGGCCCTTCATGGCAGTTTTCCCATAGTGTCTTAGTGGAACATTTCAAGTCCTTGTTTTCAGTGGAGATCTCAGATGTAGCCCAAGTGAGACCTAAGAAGGCATGAGCTCAGCCGAGGGCCTGCAGGCATTTCCTGTTCTTGCTCATCTCCTGAGTTTCATGTTCTCTCTCCAATTCTAGCACCCAGGGTTTCTCTTGATTTTTTTTTTCCTTTGAGCTTTTCTGTGTCCAATGGCATTTGAAGTATTTTATACATTTTCCTAGATGCCTGAGGTTTCTCTCCAGCTCATCTTCCGCAGAGTGATCTTACAAACATTCGTAGGAACTGGTCTTGTCCCTGCCCAAAACCCCCAAAGGCTTCCTGCTCTGTGTTAAACTCAAGCCCTTTATCTTTAATGTTTAAGGCTTGCACAGACTAATTACTAACATGGCTGCTTGCAGGTCAGAAGCGAGGGTAGCAGGAACATGCAGTAGACAGTTTGTAGTATGTGAAGCCTGCTCATTGGCAAAGAGTGTGGAAACTGACGGAGTCCTTTACATAGGTCAGAGGTCAGAGGGCAAAGTGAACCGAGTCTACATTCTCATCAGCGTTGACAGTGCTCCTCAGCACCCCATGATGCTGCTATCACCATGACTCTGGATAATGCCATAATACCTAGTTAGTACTATCTGTTAGTACTTGCTGCTCTTCATGACATATTCTAACGTCAATGTGTGTGTGTATGCGTGCGTGTGCGTGTGTGTGTGTGTGTGTGTGTGTGTGTGTGTGTGTAGGACAATATTAGGGATCTTCAGTTATTTCTACCTTTTAAAAAATTTTATGTACATTCTTGCTTTGCCAACATGTATGTCTGTGTGAGGGTGTCAGATCCCCTGCAACTAGAGTTACAGACAGTTGTGAGCTGCCATGTGGTTGCTGGGAATTGAACTCGGGTCCTCTGGAAGAACAGCCAGTGCTCTTAATCACTGAGCCATCTCTCTAGCCCCTCTACCTTGCTTTTTGAGAGAGTGTCTCCTTGAATCTTCAGCTTGTTAGTTCAGCTAGACTGGCTGGCCAGCAAGTCACTGGGATCTGGGTATGTCCCCTCCCGTACTCAGATCAGGGTAACAGGTGTGTACCATCTACCTATCTCTTATGTGGGTGCTGTGGATCAGAACTCTGTTCCTCATGATTGTTCAACAAGCACTTTACCCACTGAACTATCCCCATCCTCCTAGCTATACTTACTCTCCTAGTGAGTCTCTCTTTCAACTGGGAAGAGTTAAAAGCCACCATGTTCTCAATATTTTTGTTTGATGAATCTTTTCCCTTTAAATTTTTTTATCTAGGCTTTCAGTTGTCTCTGTTGCCATAGTCTGTGTGAACTAGAAAACGCTGAGTGGGATGACACCAGGACACTTTGGCTAGCTGGCAAAGAGTTGACTTCAGTGGGAGGACACAGAAGAAAAGATGTCAAACTGGGAATCACTCGGTGTCTCTTGTATTCTAATAAGTAGCAGAAGTTTGCATAGCATGCCCTTTAAGTTTCCAAAGTACTTGAGACATTTACGTACTTGAAATCTCTTAATTTGTATGTAGTGCACAAATTGTTAACAAGAATTTTGTAAAATCTTTGTCTTAACTTCAGGGAGGACTGTGGTGTTTTGGAGGAAATGGACTTCCTTACGCAGAAAGCTTTGGAAAAGTTCCCTCAGCCACAGTGGAAATGTTCTGCTTAGAAGCCATAGTGAAGCATTCGGAGGTAACTCGAATTCCACAGTAGAGCTTTTCATAGTTACTTGGATATGAATTTGGTAGCGGGAGAAGTGCGGGTCATCTTAGAGGAGTTATGGGAGGTGCAGTGAATATGATCAAAGTACATGCTCAAAGAATTAACAAAAAAATATTTTTAAAATTCCACTTCTAGCTGTTAGAATTAATAATTTGGACCCAAACGTGACTTTCATTTTTATTACATATTCAATTTAATTTTTTAAAACAATTTTTGTGTATGGGTGCTTTGCCTGCATGTATGCCTATGAGCTATGCATGCCTGGTGCCCTTGGAGGACAGAAGAGGGCACTGGATTCTCTGTAGCTGCAGTTACAGTGGGGAAGCACTCACCATGTGTGTGCTAGGAATTGAACCTGAGTCCTCTGGGGATCGGCAGACAGTACTTTTAACCACTGAGCCATCCTTCCAGTCCCTTATTACACATTTTAAACAGTTCATAATCACACCTAAGGAGCAGTTCATGGTCTAAACGTGCCTTTTGTCTTTGGTTCGTGCTGTCTTCTCCCTTCCCAAGATGATCTGACACATAGCATTGGATAGTTAACGTCCATGAAGATGTCTGTCAGCTGTACAAGGTAGAGCAGATAGAGAGAAAAGGGAAACATTCCATGGGTACACAGCCAAGTTAGGAGGCCTGATCATTTCTAGGCATTTTAGTATAGTTGGTGCCTTTGATTATTTATTTATTAGACAGGCTCTTGCTATATATCCCTGTGTGTCTGTACGACACCATGCCCAGCTATAGTTTGATTTAATAATAATTTTAAAAAGACAAAAGCCTGGTGGTACCCCACCTAGAAGCAGGTTAGGCACAGTGTCCAGTTGTCCTTGATGATTTAATCTAAGTAGATCTGGAGTGCAGTGCAGTCGCCCACACCCTCGAGGTTTTGAACTCTTTAACCTGACTGAAGTACATGGCTCTATAAGGTCATCTTTGATTCTCACCTGTACAGTGGAAACTAAGCAGGACTGAGAGGAACCACAGGGTCGTAGCACAGGGGAGGTGTGGGAACGCACCTTGGGAGGTGTGTGGTGAACTGTGCGATGACGTAACGGGAGCTCTGTCACCTCGTGTTAGATTCCCTCACACTGTGATCACATTGAAGCAGGCGGGGGCTTGCAGCTCCTGCAGAGGCTCTACCAGCTTCACAAGGACTGCCCCAAAGTCCAGAGAAACGTCATGAGGATCATTGGAAACATGGCTCTGAACGAGCATCTTCACCCTGCCATAGTCCACTCAGGTAACAGTGTGTGCTCTGCATGCGCCAGCGCTTCCTCCTCGCTCCCTCGTCTTAGGCTGAGTATTTTTCAGTAGACGTAAAGCTCTACTGGGGTTTCTTGGGTCCTTTGCAACATGCTTCTGTCATGCAGTGTCAGCATTGCACACTGAGGACTCGGATGTAGAACCGTGGAGGGGAACAGGCTTTGACATGAAGTCTGTTGAGTTGTTAGCAGCAGCTTACAACTATCTGTAGCTCCAGTTCCAGGGAATCCGACAGCCTCACACCAATGCGCACGCGTGCGCGCACACACACACACACACACACACAAACAAAAAACAAATAAACAAACCCATCATGATGAAGGAGCCTTGAGGAAGGAAGTCATTTGATGTACAGCTCCAGTAGGATCAGAGTCCAGAGGCATGGCAACAAAGAGGCGGGCATGGCAGCAGGAGAGGCAAACGGAGAGTAGCATCCTGAACTGTCAGCATGGAGCCCAGAGTGTGATCTAGATGTGGGGTGAGACTTTAGTCATCGAAGGCCACCCAGAGATACACACTCTCCACCAAGGCTATACCACAGAGATACACACTCTCCACCAAGGCCACACCCCAGAGATATACACTCTTCACCAAGGCCACACCCCAGAGATACACACTCTCCACCAAGGCCACACCACAGAGATACACACTCTCCACCAGGGCCACACCCCAGAGATACTCTCCACCAAGGCTACACCACAGAGATACACACTCTCCACCAAGGCCATACCCCAGAGATATACACTCTTCACCAAGGCCACACCCCAGAGATACACACTCTCCACCAAGGCCCCACGCAAGAGATACACACTCTCCACCAGGGCCACACCAGAGATACACACTCTCCACCAAGGCCACACCCCAG